CCTGTGAGACCTTCCAAAGCCTGTTCCCATCAGATATCCCAGGGGTGTGAGCTTTGGGGACAGAGAGCTCCCATCTCTGGAGGGGCCTGCAAGGTAAAAAGTGCCCAATGTTGACATGAAACACCACTGAGTGCTGCAGGGCCCCAGCGCAGGGCAAGCAGTGCAGGGTCACATCCAGGGTCAAGTGTCATCGCCAGGACCACCACCCTGATGGCTGTGGTGCCCCAGACACAGAGAGTGGCTTCAGATGGGAGTGGAGACAGAGACCACATCCTCTTAATGTTGCTCCTCTGCAGCTCTCTCCTTTCCTCTCTTCTCTCCAAGTGTTCAGGCACAGCTGGAACGGAGGGCAGAAAGCTGTGGGGCAGCGCAGTGACAACCACACGTGCTGGGTGATGTGGCTCCTGGTCTGCACACCAGCACCAGCTGGCAGTGGTGAGGCTCCAGGCACAGCATGAGCTTCTTGGTCCCTGACCCGCTCCCACTCAGCCACAGACGTGCAGGGAGGACACAGTGCCTGGACAAGCACCCATGGGGCTGTGGAGCAGCTCTCCCTGCCGCGTGGGCTGCCAGGGAGAGCGAGATCACTGGAACCAAACCCACTCTGGCTGCTCGTTATGCAGAGTGGCTCATCAATGCTCCTGCTCTCCCTGAGCCCATGCGTGTCCCACCAGGAGCCCGAGCCCCAGACAGCCCAGCAGCAGCCCAGGCAGAAGGCTCAGCCTGCCTGCACTCCCCGAGTCAAAAAATCCTTTCAGAAGAACACTTTAATTTTGTTCCAATCAACCAAATCATCACAGCAGCGGCTGCCTGCGCACCTTTAGACCCTGGCTGCTGCAGGCTCCTCGGGGAGGCTGTGATTAATGAAAAAGACCAACTTCCTTAATAGCTTTGGAGGGAGTCGCTCCCCACTCCTTCCTTTGGGTTGTCTCGTGCCTTCGTTCCCCTGATTCCCTCCTCTGCCCATGAACAGCAGCTGGAGAAGGTGACCTTGAGCAAGGGCTTCTGGAAACAGGTACAAAAATCCTTGCAGAGCAGCACCAGTTGCTCTGGTTCAGTCTAGCTGGGCATGGAACAGGAGGAATGGAGCAGGCTGGGCCTCCTGGGACCCCAGGGAACACTTGGCAGACGCTGCCTCTGGCGCGATGGAACTCTGTGCCTCGGCGTTCGATGGGTTAATCACACTCTCCCCGTGGAGATGGGCCCTGCAGCCCTGCAAACTGGGGATTCCTGATGGCCATCCAGGCAGCTCTGCTCTCCTCTGCCCTTGTTCAGCACTTCATTATTTGACATGGTGCCACTGGAGCAAGCAGGAACTTGGAAAATGAAAAAACAGGGAGAGTGGATAACAAAGCATTTGGCCTCCAACATGGATCAACCATTAATGCTCAACAAGTCACCCTGATCTGAAACTCAAGGAGAGGATGGCCGAGACCAGGCAGAGCAGCCCCAGTCAGGGTGACCTGGCCCCACCAGTCCAGCAGATGGGGGATTGCCAACAGGTGCCACATCTCTTCTCTGCGTAGATCCACGGGCTGAGGGCTCCTTCCCTTCTCACAGCCTGAAACCATCACTGCCCAGAGAGGCAGCCCCAGAGGGAATGCCTAACGCTGCACCCGAGGGCTGAATTCTCCCTTCAGGATGTTGGGGTGGATCCTGCTCCATTCACCCCATGTCGGGTTGTGAGAAGGGCTAAGGCCACGGAGTGGGCACAGGAGAGAGGGTGATGCTGTGGATTTTCTTGGCTTCCCAGAGTGACCTGTGCTCTCTCCTCCTGCAGCCTGCAGGACTGGCCAGCACGGCAGGACACACCACCCCCACCACCCCAACCCCAGGCAGCACAGAGAGAACTAGCAGGAATCAAGCACGCCTGCTCGAGCACACTGGGAACACACAGGTAACGAAATCACGGCCTGACTAGAGCAAGATAAATATTTTAAGCATAAAATGCAATTTCCAGACACTATGGGGAAGGGTGGTGGTGCAGCGTGGGGACAGCAAAACAGATGATCAGCTGAAATAACCCAATTACACAACCCAGAAATGGATCGCTCCAGCCACATGAACAGAAGTACTATTAATTCAGAGATAAAGCAAACATGGCAGGAAGTTTTTCCTATCAAATCAAGCGGTGCCTGGAGTCAGACAGCTCAGCACATCAGCCTGGTCCTCACAGGAGCAGAGTCCTCTGCCCTGGGCTCCTCCAGCAGCTCAGCCACCCCCAGACCTGCCTGGCAGAACTCAGGACAGCCCAGCACCAGCTTCCAAGGCTGAGTTTGGGCTCAGTTTCTGCGATCATCTGGCTCATCCTCCCAGGATAGGAAAGTCAAAGCATCACAGAGAGGCTACACACCAGGGACAGCAGCCTGGGAAAGGCTCATTGCTGCCAGGGGACACCTCCAGCTGCCCCTGCCTCAGTCCCACACCTTCTATGGACACAGCAGGTGGCAACCCAGGGAAATTCCAGGGATCCCAAGGGAGCAGAAAGTGTAAAAATATCTGGGGGTTTACAAAAAACATTGTGAATGGATAAGCAGCATTTTGGCTGAGGACAGAGTACCCAGAGGTTGTCACGTTCTAGAGAAAGAAGAACTATCTAGGCAGAAACAAATGAGATCCAATTATACCTAAATAGACCTCGTGCACAAATAGAGTTTTGCCATTAAATATCATTTATCCCATTTAATTAGTATTTTCTGGACACAATACTCAGGACTAAAACACCATTCCATCTCCCTGAAACTCGCAATTATGGCTGCGACCTGTCCTGCAGCACATCTCCCACTTCCTCCATCCAAGCCATTTAAGAACCAGCAAGATTTTCAATTATCTACGCTGAACTGTCAAAGCTACCTTTAAAAGAAGGGGAATAATGTGTGACTCAATCCCTCTGAAAAAGGGGAGAGATCATTTTTAGTCAGAACGAACACACCGCATCTTTCATCATTCTATTTTTTGCGAGGAAGAGTAAAACAGGCTATTTAAAACAGCCATTTAAATGCAAATTTTTATATTCCAGGCGGGGGGGAGTTAATCATTTACCACAGACAGGATTATTTTCCCCACTCCACCCCTGCCAAAGTTTCAGCCTGGCACCCACACGGGCGCAGGGATTTGCTCAGCCCCAGGGCTCAGGAATCAGGGAGACAACACGGCGGCTCCAGCACTTACCCAACATTCCCATCCCTAGCATAAAAGCGTCCATGGGATACGGCAATCCACGTGCCCTTCCTCTCGTCCCTGGTGGAAACATCACTTCTTTAGGTTGTGCTTTCTTACATTCTACCTATTGAGCAGAAACATGTACAAATGAGATGCAAATGAATTCCATGTAAATGTCAAATGCAGAACTGATCTACTTGGAGGGGGGGAGGTTTATTTTTAGCTCTGCCTCCACACACCTCCTCCCCCTCAAAGGTGAACTGCCAGAACAGCGTAACCAGATTTAAAAGAGCAAACGTGTACGTCTCTTTAACCACCCACTGCAACCCCCCAGCGACGCCAGAAGTGCTGATTTAGGGAGTTCTGTGTTCCCAGAGGGAAGCAGTGGGAGAGGGATGAATGGAGGGAGAGCTCCAGCCCAGCTCCACTGCAACCCAGAACGACTCCCAGGGATCGTTACAAAAAGCTCCTTTTAAAAGAGGAATAAAGAATCGATATTTCTACCCAGCAGAAAATTTCTGTAAACCCTATTAATACAGGATCTGCATTCTTTTCACTTCCAGTTACTCCCTCTGCCTTTGGAAGCTGCTTCGTGGCACCTGACCCACCCAGTGAGTTTCCACCACTGCCCTGAGATATGGCAATCCAGCCCTGCAGGCAGCGTGCTGTCCAGGCCAGCCAGGATGCTCAGCCACCCTCTTCTGGGCCAGGAAAAAGGAGAAATAAAATTTGTGTCAGGGCTCAGCTCCACACCGCATCGCCCCCAGGAGCTGCCCCATGAGGGTCTTTGTCCATAAATCTGGACCTCGCTCAAACTTTCAGTTCAGCATTTCTGGGTATCTTAATAATTTCCAGATTTTTTCCACCTCCCTGTACGAGGATGTGCTGCACTTTCAGCAGCTCAACAAAGAAAGGTTTAACTCTAAGGCTAAAAAAAAAGCAGGGAAACTAAAATTCACTATTTTTGTTTAGTCTAGTTTGGAGAATTAACCTTACACTGGGGTACTCCTGGGTCAAGCGGAGCAGTCGCAGCCCAGGAGGGCTGAGCTGGGGAGTGAAAAGCCTCTTGTACCCAGCACAACAAACCAGGCTGTCAGCTCAGCCCGGGATGTCTCACAAACCCCTGGCGAACAGCTTTCCAGGGAAACCAGGGCTGCTTTGAGGAAAGCAGAGTGTGCAAGATCCACAATGCACAAACCCCCATTGAAACACCCACAGACAAGGAGACCTTGTTGTGTCAGCAACGTGTGATTCAGAGTTTGCTGGGGTTCCATCACCTTGGGGACGCTGTGCCACTCACACCACGGCTAACTGCAGCAGCCAGGAGCAGAGAGGGTAGGAGCTGATCTAAAAAATGCATTAGATCATGGGTTTGATGATCTATCAGATCCCTGATCAAGGGCTGGGAGCTGGGTGATCTGAACACAGATCCTGTGCACTGGCAGAGGATGCCCAGAGCAGCTGTGGCTGCTCCATCGGTCATTGTGGTGTGGACGCGAAGCAACCTGGGCGGGTGGGAGGTGTCCCTGCCCATGGCAGGAGTGGGATGAGATGACGTTTAAGGTCCCTTCCAACCCAAACCATTCTGTGACTGACAAAGGTGTGGTGGGGTCAACAGGATTGCATCTCCTCAGACAGTAACAGGAGAAGTTGGCAGCTACAGGTGGGCAAAGGAATCTGCCAGAGTTTCTTGGAATTCAACAGTTCAGTCTGTCCCCAGATACACCCCCAACCCAAAGGCACTTGGTGTGTACCAGACATGCCTGAAACATCACCACTCAGCCAAGGCTGCCAGTCCTGGGAGAAGCCTGAGAAGTGTGGATACATCAAAAAATCCCACTACAAAAAAAACCCACAAACCTACAAAATCCCACCCTGAGAGGAAGGAAGAGCCACAGGTGCTGAGCAGTGTCACAACCTGTTCTAGAGCAGCACAAAGCTTCTGTGAGCTGCTCCAGCCCAGCCTCCAGGACTGGCTCATCCCCAGGGCATGTCCCACTGTGCCTGTGACATGAACAACTCCCCCACAGTGGGATCTAAGGGAGAACACTCCACCACATTTGTTTTCCAGCTACTTTTGTGCCCCCTTAGAAAACCAGGTGTCTCTTTGCAAAGCTGCCTGCTCCTGTCAAAGGAACAATAATCCAGGGACAGCTTGTTTGGGTTTGACTGTCCCCCCCCAATGTTTGGAGCATCTTTGACCTCCCACATAAATTCCAAGTTTCGTTTATTAAATACCTCCCTGGCATTTTCTTTTCACTTTCCCACTGCTCGTTTAATATTACATTTGACATTCTAAGCTTTATGGATGGCAACAGAAGCAGAATGGATGGGCTAAAAATAGCCTGTCAGGGAGACAGGAGCTGGAAATAGGCTGGGAGCAGCCACCCTGTGCTGCCCTTTGCTTGCCCCTGTGGTTTGGGAAACGACAGCGTTCAGGAGAGGAGGCAAAGAGAGCTCAGGGTACTCACAGAGCCATGGGTGCCCCAGCTAAGCAGTGTGGGGATGGACACAGGGATGTGGAGTGGGATGGGGATGAGGATGGGGTGCCCCAGTCCCAGCCCATGGAGGGGCTGCAAGAGCCTGTGCCCTGTCCCTCAGGGCTGGAGGGGATGTGATCCAGGTACCCCCTGGCCACCCCTGGCTCCTGCCCCAGCTTGCTATCACACTCCTGCACGAGCTCTCCTGCCCCCGTGTGGGTTTGGCAATTCATCTGCAGACACATCAGCACGGTGATGAGTCAGTCCCAAGACAGGATCATGTCTCATCCCCTCCTCGTGGGCTGCTCTCAGAATCAGTGCTGCAGAAGTGCTGAGAACGCGCAGAGTGTGGTGGCACCTGCAGCGTGAGCTGAGCGGGCACAGGAGTGGGAAGGAGATCAACAAACACCAACTGCCTACACTGATTCTTTTGCCCTGTGATGTTCCTCAAGTGCTCTTGCCCTGTCCCACCCTCCACGTTCCCCGGGATGCTGTCACCTCCCCTGGGAAGCCAACAGCTCCACCCCATTCCTTCCCTCCCAGGGCATGCCAACAGCAGGTGAGACTTGCCCAGTGCCTGAGTGCAGATCCAGGGATGAGGTGTGAAATGCTGTGCCCTGCCCTGCTACTGGCACCAGGACACACCAGCACCACACCAGGGCAATCCTGAGCTCAGCTCCAGAGAAAACTTGTTCTAGGGAACAGCCAAACCTACGGAGCATGACGTGACACATGCCCACCTGCCGTGGGCTGGAAAACCCTGGAGCTCTTCCCTCCCACCTGCCAATCCCTAAATTCACATCCCAAGTGTTTCTAAATTGTTGCTGGGTCTGTCATCTGGGGGTGGTTGGGGTTTGCTCTTTTTCTTTGCTGCTTTAAGGCAGATTAATCAGCATTTAGTAACCACACGGAGGGGAAGGAGCCTCCCCCAGTCCCACAGGCAGCTCAGGTGAGGTATCATGGGGCAGACAGGAGACTCAGAGCAGACGGAGGGAGATGCTCCCACAGGGCAGAGGCAAAGGGCATGGAACCCACCTGAGGTGGAGCAAGAGGCTTCCCACAGGGCCAGGGGCACTGCCCCAGCCCTGCCCCACCATCCCACCCCACGGCTGGCCAAGGCGACCCTCACTTTTATTTCTGATGCATATTGCAGGGAGGAACAATATGAGGAATATTATTTCAGTGCCCTGGGAAAAATTAGCAAGTCAAATATTGAATCAGGCCTCCAGCATATGCCAAGGAGATTGCTTTGATCTTATCCACACTAAAAGCTCTATTATTGAATTTAAAGTCTGTGAACACATATCAGACCAATATACAATGCATATCTGAATACACATTTGAGAAGCAAAGGATGTTTTGACAAAGGGAAAAAGAATATTTTAGCCGAAAATATCAAAGTTACTGCAGCAATTGAAATACAAATGCCCCTTTTCATCTGACTCCAGTGGCTTTACTGACAGGGCAACCCACAACCTGGGACCTCCTGTCACTGAGAGGGAACTTCACCCGGGTCTGGCTCCCGGGTCGGGGCTGGGTGGAAAGCGACTGCGGCTCCAGGCAGAGAGCCACGACTTCCCGGGACACGGTCCAGCAGCAGCAGCCACGTCAGAGCAGGATCTGACTGGGAGCTTGGCCAGAACAGCACTTCTGGGAGCACACGGGCTGCAACAACCACCCCAGGGTGCCTCCCCCCGCAACCCCCTAATGCCACTGCTGGGCAGCTGCCACGGCTCCGCAGAGCAGGGCAGGAGGAGGAGGAGGAGAAGGACTTCTCCAGCACTGCTCGACAAGCTGAGAAGGTTGACTCACACCATCCTCAGCCCTTTGGCTTCCCACACTGAAACTTCCTCTGGAGAGGCTGTTGAGCCGGTGCTCATGGGGACAGACACAAATCCTGCTGGGGGGAGGCAGGAGCTCAGCACCCTGTTCCCACCACCCCTCCAGCACCCCAGTGACCACACAGAGGGGCACAGCACAGGCCTGGGAGAGCTCAGTGCCACCAACACGCTGCAGAGCACCACCAACTTACCATTTTATTATTGATTTCGTGGAAGTGAATTTCACAGACTTTTTCCACCACGTCTTCGTTTTCAAAAGTTACGAAGCCAAATCCTGTTTAACAAAGATACAAAAAGGGGAGGGGAAAAGGAAAACATTAGTTAAGTTTAAGAATGTCATGTTGATAAAGCTTTACTTAGCCATTGGGACTCTGGAAAACTTCCACAACAGGCACATGTGATTACACCTGCTGCCTATGGAGCTGTTCCTGAGCTTATTGCAGACTAATGGAGGGAAGAAGCATTGTCTCGGGGAAAATTAATACGGTTCTGTTCCAGCTCTTCCATAGGATTTAATGGAGAATTAAAACCTCCTTATGGATTTTTTGATCCATCCTGCAGAATTTAATGGATAGTTACACCCCAGTTACATGACGGCTCAGAAGCTACACTAAGGCTGTATTTTCTTTTACACCTTATAGGTTTTTAAGAGCAATCTCTACAAAACCCAATTATATTTCTATGGAACTATATTGATTTCATCTCTTGTTTAATTCCACGGGACTTCTCCATTAGAGCTGACTCATTACACGACCCAAAAACCATAAAAATCTGGGAAGACAGAAGATGATTCCTCATTTACCCCTGGCAAGGGAGAAACCCCCCAATGCTTCCCCAACCCACGGCAGCACTCTGTGTTCCCGGTGCTCCGAGCACACACGGCTCAGTCCCAGCGTCGCGTCCCGGCACAGCTCCATCCCGCGGGTCAGCCCGGCTCCGGAGGTGGTTATTTGTCCCTTTCTTCCTGAATGACTTCCTCTAATACCTCATCAGGACATCCTGAGGCCTCCAGGAACCCATTACATTTAAGTCCTCTGATCTAATCGTTCCTCTCTTCTCTGCTGCTGCTTCAAAGGGCGGCGGATTTGCAGCGGTGAGGCCGTTTGATGCCTGCTGCTGCCTGCAGCTCTACACTGCCTGCCCTGCTGGGGCTGCACTCGAGGAACCTGGCAGCCCACCACGCCACACACTGCCCTGCTCCCTGCACTTTCCTTGGGAAAAACACCGAGCCGAGGGACAAACCCCAACCTCATGTGCTGTGGTACCGGGGAAGGCTTGATGAGTCAACACCAGCGCCAATTAAGCTAATGAAATCTCAAGAATGTAATAACAGGATGAACTCCATTCCCCAAACTGCACTGAGAACTGCTGGACTCAACACTGGTGAAACACCACGGGGTGTCTTTACGGCACCAGGCTGAGCCACGCGTGTCCCAGCAGGGACAACCCCAGCGCAGCCTTTGCCCCTGACTGGGCGAGATCCAACCGCTCCCATATGGCTCGTTTGGCAATGCACAGCATGGGTAGCAATGGGGAATGCTCCCATCCCACTTCAGATCCTCTTATGCAGGGAAAACCCACCAGGAATGGTTTCCAGCTCCTCTCCAAGGTGCACACACCATCTGACAGCACACCAGGCTTGCGGCACAGCTTTGCTCTGCTTTGCACTGCTCAGGCAGCAGCTTGAATTTTTCTACATAACTCAAGTCTTTCATTTGCCTTCTAAATTACTCCATTTAAATCTACCTTAAACAGACCTGTAGTTAAAGCTGAGAAGTTTGTGGTTAAGGGCCTGAAATCTGGCATCCCAGGAATCCCAGCAGTGCCCAGAGCTGGGGGGTGGCCAGGCCAGGGCTACAAGTCATTAACCGTTTGAGGCACAGCCACATCTTCATCATTAGCAACTCAACAGTGAGTGCTGCAGTTGAGGATTTCTCTTTCAACTTGTGTCAGGTTGCCCAAAGAATCATAGAATTGTCAAGGCTGGAAGAGACTCTAAGATCATCAAGTTCAATCTGTGGCTGCTCCATCCCTGGGAGTATTCCAGGCCAGGTTGGATGGGGCTTGGAGCAACCTGGGCTGGTGGAAGGTGTCCCTGCCCATGGCAGGGGTGGAATGAGATGAGCTTTAAGGTTCCTTCCAACCCAAACCATTCAGTGATTCTGTGATTCCTTTTTGCTTTCCTTTTCGATATCAGATTCTAACTTTTAATAACTGCACCCACACAACGATCGCTCTGCACACTTGTCTCATTAGTTCCCATAATGAATCCACACTCATTTTTAAATTACCAAAACTCAGAAAACCTTCCTGGACTAAACAGACAATTACTTCTTCTGAGAGGTACTAAGAGTCAACAAAAAAAATGGTCCTCAGGAAGTGTATGAGAAAGATTAACCCAAAACAAAAGCTGCTGTTGAACACGGTGACAGAAATAGGATTCCGGTTGTCAAGGAGCACACGTTTGAAAATGAAATTATACTGCATCCTTCTGAATGAAGCTATTATTGGAAGCTAACAAGCTCTATTTAAGAGATAAGCATTTAACAGAGTCAAACGGTTGGTTTTTATTCAAATGAATAAAACTGAATATTCATTTGAATAATCTTTTCTGTAAAAGAAAAGACAAAGAAGAGGGGAAAAAAATAAAGTAAGAGGCAAAGAGATGCCCCCAAACGAGAGGCTCTGAGCCAGGCACCAGCACTAAAGGAAGCTGAGACATGTATCCATGACCTTCAGGTGGAAAACCCTCCTCTGGATCTGCTGGGAAAAAGGAGTCCATGCACTGATGGTGCAGGACACATCCTCCAACACACCTTTGTGACGCCAAAAGAAAAATTCAGGAAGTATTTCTTCATGGAAAGGGGTGCCAGGCATTGGAATGGGATGCCCATGGCAGTAGTGGAGTCACCATCCCTGGAGGGGTTCAAAGAACGACTGGACACGACACGTTAGCGCTCTGGTCTAGCTGACCGGGGGGTGATGGGTCACAGGTTGGGCTTAATGAGCTCAGAGGTCTTTTCCAACCTCAGATATTCCCTGAAAAGCTTCCTTTGATCCTGAGCGTTGTTCAGCCCCAGAGCTGCCCAGGCCTGGGGTCAGGCAGCTCCACACAACTCCCAGAGCTCAGCTCAGCACGTTCTGCCACAGCAGTGCAGAAATAAGAGAAACACTGTTCAGAGAAAGTGACCGAAACCATAAAGAGATTAAAACACTGGAAAGGGATAGGCAGAGGCCATAAATACTATTAAGGAGCCAGAGTGAAGTTACCAAATGTCAGTGCTCCCGTGCTCTGTATTTTGGCTTTTTTCACACTCAAACCAACTATATTTCACGCTTTTATCATCACTTGAGAGGTTTTACGTCAAACTCGGTAAAATATAGCCGAGATGACGACACCATTGCCATGAAATACACCTCCCTTCCCTTGCTGGCAGCACAGCTGCCACAGCCCCAGGTCCGTCTGCGCAGGGATGTGTGTCACAGCACAGTCTGCACACAGCCAGGACGTCACTGTCAGCACAGTCACACGAAAGCAGCTTACCCCACCAAAGGGCTCGCTCCCTCCAGCCTGTGCATGCATCCAAATGAGGAAAACAAGGTGATTGCATCCTGCTCCAGAAGGTTAAACCCAGGCTAATGCTGGGTGAACCCTGGAGGGCTCTGCTGGCAGAGCAGGACTCTGCCACGGCGGGTGCCAATCTCCCAGCAGTCAGGGCAGTGCCAGGGGGGTCTGCACCCCCAGCACAGCACACAGCCTGGCACCTGAGCCAGCACACCTTCACAGGCAGCAGGCACAGCACCATCTGCAGCACAGGCACTGCTGCACCATGAGGGCTCCTCAGCCACGGGGAGGATGCTCTGGTGGATGGAGGCGCTGGAAACGGAGCTGGAGGAGCCTCTTGCAGCTCCCAGGCTGTCTGTGGATGGTGGGGAATGGGTCACAATCTCATCTGCTGCGCTCATCCACCAGAGCTGTGCCTGTGCCCTCAGTGAGGCTGCTGGGACAGCCTCGTCCTGCCCTGAGAGCAGCCAGAGCTCCAGAGAGCTCCTGAGAGGGCTCTGGGAAGCAGGGATGGCTCTTTTGTCCTGCACAGCAATCCCAAAGGCAGGAGAGAAGAGCGAGGCAGAGATTTACACAATCCACATCACACAGATGCTCCCAAGCACCGTCCTGCTCACAACTCCCACTGGAGCCACCTGAGGCCAGATGGGAATATCCAGCCTGACACCCACTGCAGTGCTCAGCATTGTAACGAGGCAGCATTAGTTCAGGCTGTGTCCCCTCTGTGTCAGGGCTCTGTCCCTGCTCAGTGCCTCTGCTCCACTCCCCCCACTTCAGTTCCTTAAGCTCTCGAACAGAGAGAGGTCCAGTCCTGCTGTGGCATTATTTATGCACCTGCTTTCTTGTTTACACCCACAGTTTTGGCAGCTGGTCCTGTGAACGGTAATAAAATGCCTTTCAAAAAGCACAAAAAATTAAAACTGAAGAAATGTGACCAGACAAGCCAGGCATAATAACATTAAAGCCCGTGTCAATTAATTTTTCCTCTTCTTGATAAACGAGCCCCATTCCATCCATTAATAATGAGGGAAGAAACAAGAAAAGTTGACACTAGTTTAATTTATTTTCTCAACTTGCCTGGTCATATTTCTCCCTGTTGCAAAGCTTTCCGGTGCTGCTGGGAATTGCAAGTGGCTCCCACACAGTCGATGCATAGATTGGTGTGAATCAATACCGTTCTACTTTATTCACACATCCCTTGTAATCAGAGGGGGAAAAGTTCCTTAGTAAGCTCCCAGCCTGCCAGGCTGCCTTATGAAAATAATCACAGCAACGTTAAAGCTGCAGGGGGTGGAGAGGGGGACGTGGGACCAAGATCAGTGTCACTGAATCTTGTCTTTACGGACAACAGAACGAACCGAGCAGAGGCGATCGGACGTATTAATTACCCAGCGAGCCACGGATGCTTCTAACTTCTGTCTGTGAAGGTACTACAAGTCATTACCTCCCGAGCCTGGGAAGGGGGACCTGGGGGTTTAATCCTGCCTCAGGGAACAGCCAATCCTTTGTCAGCACCAGAACCCAACAGACGGGACTCGAAAACTCAGCCCCTACTTTGTCACCTCCTTAGGCTGTGTCTTTGGAGAAGTGGCTCAAATATTCCCTGTGGTCTGCATCCCACATCTCTTCCCCCCCACTTCCTAGTCCCTCCCTCAGAGTTTTCATCTGAAGTATTGCAACTCAGCTTGTTAGAGCCAAAAACTGTCTAG